CTGCTTCCTTTGAAAATTATTGTTTTTCAAAGATTAGGTAAATAGTGATTTCACACCGATTTTAGAAAATTAATTCCTCATCAGACCTTCATGTTTGAAGATATTAGTAATTTATTATGACTATAGTAATGAAGATTTTCTGATGTACGTATGTGTTTATGTATGTAAACCTTTTATAACTTTTAAATGGCTTGACCTATCATAATGCAGTTTATAGAACTGAAAAGTTGTACAAGGGGCATTCCATAGTAACTGGTGGGAGATTTCACTCTGAAATTCCATCAATTATAAGCTATAATTATGTGACTAAAACTTATACTACAGTAAAAGTTATCTTATAATATAGAAGAATAACTAATTAACAACATCCGTCAGTCAAAAACCTCGATTACTTTTTAAGTTTCTTGTAATTCTTATTTCATTGAGTCTGACTGGTGGGACATCGAAAAATCCTTTTTTCTTACCAAAGGTATACTTAAAGTCCAATGTCAGTCTAATCCACTGAACTTCTAAAAAAAAACTTCCGTCTCAATACAAGTTTCAAAGATATAAGCTCATTCCGATGTTACTCTCATCAAGAGCTTTCATTTGAGTACCCACGTGCATTTTTGATATATTTTTCATATATACATACATATAACAAATATAAGTGTATGAAAAATTGATGTGGCTACTCAAGTGAAAGGTACTACTTATAAGTGTAGCATCGGGATGAGCTTCTATCTTTAAAAATGTCAGTAGTTGACAAGATACAATTTTACGGCGTACAATTTTATAACTATAACATATATTTAATTCAGCTTATACTCCTCGACATTGAAATTTATTTATTAAATAAATCAATTACTTATAACAAAAAATGTGATGTCAAATATTTTCTTTAAAACGTTTATTATCGATTACACAAGATCAAGAACGTAATATAATTTTTACAGAATTTTATAATTGCGGCTTTATAAATTTATTTTGATAAAATTTATTCAAATAAAAGTTACAAGGCGCGCAGTAGCCTATCGGATCCGGCCCTTGCTACCAAAGCATTGGACCGGGTTCGAATCCGGTGTACACCAATGAATATTTTCAGTATTTAAGTGTATATTATTCTGCTCAGCCCAAGAAATACAAACGAGTTCCAATCTCAAAAGTGTACCCCCTACCGTAGTCGTTCATGACCTTAGTAGTTTATGCGACTTTAAACAAATTAAAAAAAAAAAAAAAAAAAAAGTTATACAATTCTCTTGATTAGCATGAGTTCTATAATGTAGCATCATGTTAAAGTATATAATGGCACATTAGACTTCGAATAATTTTGATAATATAGCTACTACAATCTACAATTCTCTGAGTTATCAATGGTTAACAATAAGCTATGAATTAGATTCAGCTCAGTTTGAGTAAAAAAGTCTTCTAGGTTTGGGATGTCATTCTGGTACGAATCCTCCTCATTTTCTTCTACTTGACGGTACTGATCCTGGTTGACGTTCTGGTATGAATCCTCTTTTCGTTCTTCCACTTGACGGCTCTGATCCTGGTTGATGTTCTGGTGAGAATTCTTCATCCATTCTGTTTTTCGACGACTTTTGAACCAATCTTTAACTTGGTTCCCCGTAAGACCTACTGATTTAGCAATATTTTTTCTGGTTAATGTATGGGGATACTGATTCATTTGAAACTTTCTTTCTAAGAACAGACTTTGGTCCGTAGTGAATGTTATCTCCTGCTCTTCCATTCTTATTATTTTTCTCTAAGTTCTTTCAACTAAAACACTCAATTTATAAATTACACTCGTTCACTCAGGAAGTTATTAGCACTGTGATACCCAAAGCAGATACCTCGAACGATCGAAAGGTACGAACAATTTTGTCGCCAAGTATTTATAGATAGCCTCAAACAATAGTTACACTAAGAAGGAACCTGATTGGCGAAAAATCTTGGGTCTTTATATTTTCACCTCCTATACTTTTCGTTTATTGTAGAAACTAACCATAATTAGATATACTGTTATTAACAACAGCCATGTAAATATACAAGGTCATTTTGAATAAAAGATCAACTAAAGTATTTACAAATATTATAATTACGGTTATTATTTCTAAACTTCTTCCTTTGAAGGTCATTGTTTTTCGAAGAAAGAAATTTTTTCAAATCTGGTTTTTTTGGAATAACTTTTAAACAGCTTTACCGATCAATTCCAAAAACTAATCAGCTCTCATTTTTTCGTTCTATCAATTTAAACTTGAACATTCTTTATGAAGCTTAGAAAACTATGTTGAATGCTACCAACTTCGTGAAATTCATTCATTAATAAGTTATTGCGATTTGAAAATTTAAAACATAGTGCTTTATTAAACTTTTGAACTCGACGAGCTCAAAAGCATACACAAGCTTTTTTTTTGAGCTCGGAAAACTCAAAATAACACATAAATTGTATTTATGAGCTCGAAGAGCTCAAAAACGTCATAAGTGCAATTCCAAACGTTTAGGTATAAAATTGGCAGGAAGTTTTCCTAATTTTTTTACCCAGAAACTATAGTAAATATTAATATAAAGTTTATTCAGCTCAACAAATACACTCTCGAATAATTTAAAAAATATCTAAATTTATTAAAAAAAATTTTTTGTACATACAAATATAAGCATGCTTTTGCAACAAAACCAATCTTAGTAAACATGATTAAAAATCCAAATGGAATTTTACTGATAATCAATCATGTGCATGATCTTAAGTTTATATACCGAAATTATCTCGTAACTCAGTATCGTAAAATTAATAATGATTAAAAAATTAAATGATTATAAAAATGATATAATTTTATATCATAAACGTGAAATTGGTGTAATATTACTGTTAATTTAATATATCTTCTACTACTATTTCTATTTTTTGATAGTTATGTTATTCCAAACTGAGTCTAGGAAAATCCGTGGAGATATTCAATATTTGAAAATTTTAAAACATAAGAAATTATGGTAACAGTCGAAAATATTATCTATCTATATTATTATAAGAGATTCCTATCTATATAATCACTTATTACGATATCTCGGGAACAATCATCAGACCTAAATACTTGAAATTTGGTAGGAATATTACTTTTGCCATGTAGAAGTCAGCTAAGAACGGATTTTAAGAAATTCCTCCCCCAAAGGAGTTTGCGGGGGCGTTAACAATAAAAAATTCCCGTTTTTAAAATCTAGCTCCTATCGACTCCAAATTTGATAAGAATCTTCTGTAAGAGATGTAGAAATAGTTTATGAACGAATTTACGATAGATCACTCCAAAAATGGGTTGTGGGAGTGGGCATTAACAATAAAAATTTTTATTTTTCAAACTATAGCTCCTACAGACTCCAAATTTGATAGGATTTTTCTATAAGTGATGTAAAAATCATTTATGAACAAATTTTACGATCTTTCATTCCACAGGGGATTACGAGGGTGGGTATAAACAATAAAAATTTTTAAGTTTCATACTGTAGTTCCTATAGACTTCAAATTTGGTAGTAATTTTCTATAAGTGTTCAAAGAGTTCATTTATAACATTCAACGTTAGATCCTACTGTGTCCGTAATTAAGCGAACTAGTGTGAATTAAGTTTTAAAACTCTCAAAGAGTTCATTTATAATTTTCAACGTTAGATCCTTCTGCGTCCGAATTTGAGATCTTCGTCCCCGTGTGTCTGAATTTAAGCGAATTACGGCGAATCCGGATGAATTAGATAATTAATTTAAAAATTTTTATTAAATACCCGTGCGAAGCCGGGGCGACCTGCTAGTTAATTTATATAATCATGTTTATGACACTTTGGGCTCTGTGTTTTTATTGTTAATCCGTAATAATTTCTCGAGACAAAAATTTCTCATGCAAAAAATTCTCTCTCAAAAATTTCTCAACACATAAGCTATAAATATTTAAATAAATTTTTGTATAAGAAAATAATACCGAATAAATTTTGACAAGAAGAAATAAAGCCTTTAAGAAAATATTGGTGACCAAAATTCCCACTAGAAGATCTCAAATATGTGAATAAATTGTTTTTGTGAGCCAGATGAGCTTAAAACTTTGGAATAGGCTTATTTTTTAGTATTCTGAGCTTGAAAATAGTAAAAATAGCGGAATGAAGAAATATAAATACTTAAAATTTTTCCTCTTCCTAAGACATAAATTTTCAATCAAAAGCAATGATATCTTAATCTACACTAGAAACATAAAGTCAATGTTCATATTTATTATGAAAGTATTTGAAATTGTATTTCTTAAACAATTTTTATTGTTAATTAAAAATTATCGATTAATTTTTGTTTTACAGATAAGACATCCACAATTTTCATTTTTTTTTATAAGTAAATTTATTGGAAAAAAAAAAAAATGAATAATAGACAGATTAATAAGAATAAATAAATTTATTGTTCGGAAATTTCATTTACAGTTTTTAAAATTCTTCAAAAATGAAGTAATTAATATTATTATTTTATTTTATTTTTTATACTGTGGGAGTATTTTTCCACTCTCGAAAATCTTTCGTCAACCACTGTACTCTCTGGGCCATAAAATCCCTTCCCCGGCATTCAAGGGGCTCATGACGTCACGGGACCCCAGGAACAACGCTGAGTGTTAGCAAAGGCTAACACCCTCAAGAGTCAAGGGGCATGAGGCAGATTTTCCTCAGCCTCTGAGACACACACATCTACGGTCTAGGACACTGGTCCTATTTTCCTTTATGTTACTTATCGTATTATTGTAATCGCGAAGTACTATCTTGACATTATTATTTATACACGAACTATCTATTGTATCATTTACTGATAACTATATTCTACGGGATTGATTATTTATTGTGAGATTTAATTAACTTCATTCGAATATTGTAAAGAGTATAGTTATAACTTGAATAAATTATAAAATTAAAGAAATGGATTACTACAATACTGAGAATCTTTTTGTTCTTTTCATCCAATAAGTATCTTCCTATTGATAATAAATAATACGAATAAATGTACTAAAAAATTCTAACGCATGATCCCCCTTCACATTGCTGTAAAAAATACATATTTTTTTTAGTAATTATTATAAATTTTCCATTGCATTAATTTAATTATTGATTATTACTTATAAGTTATAAGTAATAAGAACATACCCCAAAATCATCAGCAGAATAATAATTAGGAAGTTTACACTCGAAGAATTCTACCATCTCAAAGTCATAAATAGATTTATTTATATACTGACATTTATTTTCTTGAACATCTAAATAATCGTTAGCGCAACTTGGAACGCAAGTTTCATCCAATGCCTGTAATTAAGAAACAAAAATAAATTAATGAATTTAAAAATTACAAATACATCAGAAGAAATCAAAACAATTAAATGAAAAAGTTTTCATCTAGAATATTATTTTTATAAAATTTTATTTCATCAAAATATGTGTCAGTTATAATGAGAAGGTAAGAAAATTTTATCAAATTATAAATTTTTAATAAGTTTAATAAGAATTTATCAAAAATAAGAATTTAATATCAATTATAAATTTATAAAATTTCATAATATTTAATGAATTTTTATTAAAATTTATAAAATATTTTAGAATCTGATGCAATCAATACTTTAATTGCAAAGTAAAATTTTAATAAAATTATAATATCAAAATTAATATTACTTACACAAGCAAACTCATATCCAAGATCCACGCAAATTTTTGATAATTTAACTTTCTGCTCCTCTAGTGCATCATCAATTTTATCTCCATGTAGCTGTTTAATTTAAAATTAGTTTTATTAATTTAATACGCTCAAAGAAGAAATAGTAATTTTGTATTACTAATTTAAATAAATAATATTTTAATTATTGATTAACAATATAAAAAAAAATGAATAAATATCACGGGTCTTACCTCAGTGGAGAAATATAGGTATACTATCGCAATAAAAACAATCTTAGTGAACATGTTTGAAAATCAAAGTGAAATTATTTTAATAATTAATTATACGCATGAGTTTGAGTTTATATACCGGGATTTTCTTATGATTCATAGCCGTAAAAAATCATAATCGTTGAAAGATTATGAGATTATAAAGTTTTAAAAAATATGATTTCAACAGTGACGCATATGCGTCTAGATATTTATCATGAATAAATATTTGTCTAGATATTATCATAAATTTTATATAGCTTTCAGGTTTAATAATAAGACGTCAATGTTTATATTGACGTCTATTAAATTAATGATTCATTATGAATTAACTCTATTTTCGGGTATTTATGTTCTAGAAAGTCTTAAATTTAATATAAACTAATGATTAATATAAACTATCAGTTACATACTATCAATTAGTAATTATCATTTATCAATTACTAAAAATTTTTTTTCTTGTTTTGTTTTTCTCTTCTTTCAAATTTTTAACTTTCCGCTAAGAAAATCGAAGATTTTCAAAAATCGAGAAGTTATTGGTTTTACCCCATTTTGCAAAAATCGAGTTTTTATCAGAGATCGACGTTTTAAGGTCTCAGGAAGCTTCCCTGACTATCCCCATGATGGTGTCTGTATGTCTGTATATATATATATATATATATATATATATATGTGTGTGTGTGTGTGTGTGTGTGTTTTTTTTCCCTTTAGAGGGGGGAATCCTTTTTACGGATTCTAGGCATAGATGTTGGCCCGGATATGTGGC